AGGTTCTTTGCCATCATCATCTTACCATAAACTGGTGCTTTGGACAGTGCTGGCTTTGACTGTTCTGCTATTGCCCTCATCTCTGCTGTCTGTGTCATGTTCACCTTGGCAGGTTAGTATTGGTACCACTGGCCAGTGTGGGTAGAGTAGCTACTAAAAAACCTTTACTCAAGGAAAACTACAATTACTCCCATAAAAAGTAAAAGTAAAATGACAAACCTACTCAAGTAAAAGTAAAATATATTTAATAATGTAATTAATCTGCTGTTCATCAGTTTAGAAACAGCTGCTGTGCAACATGTTATTTCTAGGGAATGTAATCTGCTATCTGTAATTTAGTTATTTCTGATTAATATAATTATTTTCCTTTTTAAATCTCCATGAATATATTGATAAGATCATTTTAAAATATCACGCTTGCTGCCCAGTCACTATTTGCAGTAACACAGGCAGCCAATACAATAATATTATTCCTAAAGCATCTAATGTTCACAACGCAAACAATTACTGTGGCAGTAAAACGGGAGCAGCTCGTTGTTGAAGCAGGGTAAGCCTTCATACAGAGGAAAGCGTAAAGCCCAACAGGACGGTTTTATCCACCCATATTTTCTCTCTCTCTGTGCATCTCAGAATTTTTTGTTTGCTGAATAAATAACAGCTGGTAGCTGCTGAGTCAAAGCCAAGATTAGTTTCACTGGCGACATTTTGTTTATGGACTCACCGTCAGGCTCCATTATGTAGCAAACCTAAATTTAGCTATGCATTTTAATAAATTTATGAGAATTAATACCCAATTATGAATTTTAATATTCATAAAATCTAATTTTATTCCTCGTTCCAGGGCACCACCAGATAATAATAATTATACAATTATTACTAGTGATCAGTTAGTTAATAATCGCTCAATTATCTTAAATCAGTCAGTCAGTCTCATATCTAAAGGGTCAATTCTCTTGGCAGGGACGTAGAAATAGGCAACACACACAGTTCTTGATTATATTACAGTGAATTTATTCTCTAATTAATGTGATGAAAAGATGGTTGGATACAGGGAACATAAACATTTGCTGAACAATGAGCCTGGAGGTTCGATTGTGGGAAGCATTTGATTCATACGGCATAGAAGAACCAATGAAAGTAAGTTATTAGTTTAGGAGTTAAAAGGGACATCCCTGACTACAGAATGTGTGTTAAGTCTTACTGCTTTTCGGTGGCCTTCTTGGGCCTTTTGCTGGTCCCACGCTAGCTGCCGATCCTGGCTTTTTGCTAGGGATTCTCCGGGGTTCTCCGTGTCTGATTGAAGATGACGTCCTCCGTCTGGCAATTCGGCTGTTTCAGGTTTCCTTTGTGGCCGCTGGCGAGACCACGTGGCTTGGTCTGACCTCAGTGAAGTTGACAAAAAAGGCTTAAAAATGGAACTTGGTCGTTCCTGAATTAGTTCAGTGTAACTTAACGGACTGATAACTTTAACAAAACTAAAGAAAATAAAACAAACTGAGGGAAGATCGATGTTGCGGCACTTCACGTGTGTAGCTTCAGGCGAACAAAAGGCCTGTCTCGCTGGCTGACTCTGAGGGCGTTGCCTGGCGAGGCACGCCGCACGCGTGCCGAAGCGTCCAGCGAGCTGGGCAGAGCAGAGAGCAAAGAGCGAAGAGAAGAGAGCCAGAGGGCGTGGTTCCCCAGGGGGCGTCTCGGGTTTCCCAAGGGACTGCCTCTCTAAACTTAATGTCTAAAAAGAAATCTATTTGCGCGTATTATCATCAAATATTTTCCACAATCGAACCTCAATGGTCGAACGGTTGTACTGTTCTAAACATTTGGTAACAGGAAACAATTGTCACATTATTGGTCAGGATAATTATACATTTAACGGCATTTCCAACGAGGGTATGTAATACTTATTTTGTCCACTTGGGGGAGCTCAGGTTGATTCATCCTTAAATTCAAGCTGGTGATTAAGGGTATAGTAAGACATTTCTTTATCATCCTTTCTAAAGGAATTTTGTAGGAAAGTATTATGAACAGGCATTGATTACATTAGATGAAAGAAGTGTCTTGCTGAAGATAAAAACACTGCACAAGTAACTTTCTTTTCAGCACTAATATCAACAAAAGATAGCAACAACATGTTACTACTCAAATAGAGGCAAACGTAATCAAGTAACTAAAGATTTAATTAAACTTATTTAAATGCTTTGAGTCTTTGGAGACTGCAGTCCTTTTACATTGAAAGTTCAGCTCTCTGGACCATGTCACACCTAGGTGAGACAAGGAGTATCCCTATGATGGGATAATAAACAAAGAGTAAGGTTAGTTGCCACGGAAACATGTGTGGGGGGGCCAGTTTTGATAGGCTGTTGAGGGAAATGCTAATGGCTGGTTCGTGTCCCTTTGTCATTTTAACTGCCAGGCCCTGCGTTATCAGCTTCGGAATCAAAGAGGCACCAGTTTTATGGTCGGGGATAGCACTTAAAGAAAGCAACTTTGACCCCTCCCCTTCTTCTCTGGGGGAGGAGAGAGAAATTTGGAGTAGCTCCAAATTCATTCAATATAAGATGCACAAATCCACACCGTTGTTCACTACACATTGCTATAAAACATATATAACCGATGTGAAAGAAACAGGCTTATGTCCATCTTTACATCAACAGGATACTGTTAATATATCAGAATACATCCAGTGATCATTTGACTTAGATGTTACAGTGTGTAGTCTTCATTTGCTCTGCAGAGACTACGCTTTAAGTGAGCCGTTAATGGAAGGTGTCAAGTATTTTACTTGACGACTTGTGAAAGAGCGATGCAGGCTGCTTTCCAGCAGGCCACCAGTGCCATGGTGTGCGCTCACTGGATTTCAGTTCTATTAGTAGAACAATAAAGCCTGAAAAGCTATTTGCCTGATTTTGTAAATGGCTGATCTGTGTAACTGCATGCACACAGCCTGGATGACAGCTCATTTCGATTAATGAAGCCTAATGCAGATTACAGACTGGTGAAGGTATGAATGGAAAATGTAGCAACTGTTGAGCTCAAATTCATCCTCAGCACTGCTCCACTGAATATAGTTTATTTCTGTTTACCATTTTTGTAATTGCTTTTATATGTATTATTGTCTGCTACTTAGAAGAAGGGAGTTACAAACATTACCTAACAGTTACCGAAATGCGGCGCACCATCAGCTCTCTGATTACTTTTGATCCAAAGTTTTATCACATTAAATGCAAACACTCTAATACGCTTTGATTCCTGCGTATACTATTGTTTTTTGAGCATCGTTAGCACAGATTGTCGCGCTTGAAGCTGGCTAATTAGCTAGTTAAATGGCTAAGCTAACGACCTAATGTAATGTACCAGTACCTGCTAATTATTCCTAACAACACATTAATAAAATGCTAGGATTTACCTTACCAATTGGAGCACATGCTTCTTGGAAGGTCTGTTAGTACAATAAACTGCATAGTAAGACATCATCCATCCGGTATTTGCATGAAAAATCTCCATAAGGCACAACAAGGTGATGATGCCAAGTTCCATGACTGCAATTAGCAGAGTGAGGCTGCCTTGAAACGAACACTTCCATGAGTGATTAGTTGGACTTAGTGGGCAGTCCAAAACACATCGATTGGCAGGTTGCGTTTGCAAAGGAAAAGCAATTACAAGTCTCTTAAGTGAATGGCAATGACATTAGGTTTCGTAAGGAAAAATGTATGTATTTATTCTTTAATTGATTTATTCTTTCCTATATTTCCACATTTATTTATTTATTCTTTCATTAATTCATTATTTCTTGCATATATTTCCCCAATAATTTATTTATTCTTTCATCCAGTTCTGACACTTTGGGAGTTCCATACTTGCAGCCTCTTGCACTCAATCACTTTCCAAGTTACGTCCCTAAAGTCTGTGAGGCTTTACAGGGTTTGGGGGGGGGGGGGGGGGTTATTGGGATTGGGCCTTAGCTTTGATGGTCCACCACGTCAAGGAAGCACCAAGCTGCAACCAAGTAGGTCCACACCCACTTCAGGGTTCAGCAAAGTTTCCTACAGTCCTTTGTCTGGCCAGTTCCTGGTACCACTGCTTCTCCAGCACTTCAATATGCATCTCAATTTCACTCTAAGGCCAAGATGGCTCAAAACTGGATTAATTCAGCAAATGTTCTCTTTCCTCTGAACTTCTCACTCCTCTGTTATCCTCCATGCATGAAATGTTTGTCCTTCCCTTCCTCCAGCTCACAGGAGCCTAATTTATCACCTCCTGCTCAAACCACACCCTCAATCAAAAGCAAAAGGCCCACTCTGCTACTCTCCTACCCCTTTCTGCTACAACTTTTAGTTTGTGATGTAATTAGATCCCGGGTATATTCAATTCTTTCTTTAATTTTACAGGTATATTTTGTGATTGTTGCCTCTTGATTTAGTGAACTCTTGTATTTTGCTAAATCATGTTGTATTCATTAGTTAAGTACTTTTTCCTTTCTTTTCTTTTTTTCTTAAGTAGAGGTTCGTTGTATAAGCGCATGACTTCTGGACCTTTGCTGGACCTAGTAGTTCTATTAGTTTAGTTCTATTAATGGGTTTCATGCTGTTGTTTGTGTATACGAATAAAAAACTAAACAAACTAAAACCTACTTAAATCTATACAAAGACCCTCCTTTATGCAATAGCTGTTTTTAGATAAAAAAATTTTATTGATATGATATTTTTAACATCCGCTTATGTATTATCAGATTAAAAAAACATTCCCAGTTTAAAATAACAAATCCAGTGGACAGAACAAACTGTTTTCAAGTTGACTTTGCAATTCCATTTCAAAAAAGATTTGAAGATACTGAATTGGGCTTATCGAATACATTTATATTTACACACTTTAATACACTGGGCTGTTGTGTGTTGATAATCTTTTTCTAATATCCAGCCTTCCATCTATTAAACTTTATGAACTTCTGTTCTGTATCAACTGATCAAACATACCAGTAACATTTTGTCTGTTTCCTTTGGCAGGTATAGACCAAGCTACACGGGCAGCAAAGGCCAAAGGTCAGTGATAACATAAACACTACGTATGTACACTTTTCAACACGACAGTTACAATGTGCTTTTTAGCAGAGAAAGATTTTTTTTTAAAGACGCAAATGTTGAATAGAAAAACACACACTGAGACTGACAGAACAAATGCTACATTATACATTACATGTCAGTGAGGATTTTCCATACACCCACTCTCAAAAGTCACAAAATTACATAAAGTTCAAGACAAAAGGTTTAACTTAAATTTTCTTCTATTTCATGTTCAAATAACAGATGTCTTTAGTCTACCGTTTAGTTTAGTTTGGTTAAATCTATTTAACTTTCTAAACTTTATCAATATACTGTTTTAAATGACACCTGCTTTACATTTTGTTTATCTGTTTCCTCTGACAGAAGAGAACCCATGTTCAGTCTGGCTGTAAGCATCCCATACAACAGTGACAGGAAAATGTATGACATCAGTCAAGTGACTGACACTGGTGAACAAGTCTGGCAAAGTATTTTGAAGAGATGTGATGTGTACACCAGTCAGAGGATGGTCGCAGCTACAGTTCTGAGATGGCCCAATGTTGTGGATCAGTGTCCTGAGGGACGTGTGCAATGGTCTATTCCAGCAAAATGTGGTCAAACGTGGGCTGATGTTAAAAAAAACTGTCCTACAGAAATTGAAGATGGCAGAGCTGATCATGCAGAGTACCGTACTCTACAAAACTTTAATACCTTGGTGAGCGATCATGACAAAAATGATTTATTGCTTTTCTACGTTCTTGCTTCCCCGTGTGATAAAAGATGTGCAAGTGAATCGAGTCGCTGGAACATTCTCAACAGCATAAAAATGATTAAACAGTGGAAGAACTATGCTGTGGTGTTTTCCAATGTATTCAAGCCGCGTGGTAGTAAATCCATACCTGAACAAGACCTACGTGGAGCCATTGAGCGGCTTGGTCAGTCAGTTGGTCTGAGCAATATATTCCGTTGCAACGGAGATGTGGTGCAGTGCACAAGCTGCTCTAGTGGTACACAAGTTACACCCTATTGTTATTCAGAGGAACTACAACCTTCCCCCACAAATATAGCAGATGTTGTGTCCTCCCAAAGTGGGCTTGATAGCAATAATGGAAATGATGAGTCTGATACAGGTGAAAGCATCTCCCCATCACAAACACGTCCTAATTATGGTAAAAGAAATATTTTTAATGTAGGAGGTGGTTCCCCCTTCCTAAGTGGGCTTGATAGCAATAATGGAAATGATGAGTCTGATACAGGTGAAAGTGTCTCCCCATCACAAACAGGTCCTAATTATGGCAATGGAAATAATTTAAATGAAGGAGGTGGTTCCTCCTCCCAAAGTGGGCTTGGTAGCAATAATGGAAATGATGAGTCTGATACAGGTGAAAGCATTTCCCCACCACAAACAGATCCTAGTTATGGCAATGAAAATAATTTAGATGAAGGAGGTGTGTCCTCCCAAAGTGAGCTTGATAGCAATAATGGAAATGATGGTTCTAACACAGGTTTAAGCATCTCCCCTTCACAAACGGGTGATAATTATGGCAATGGAAATTTTGATTTTAAAACAGGTGGCAGAAAACCGAGTGGCAGCAGCATTAGTAAAAACACAAAAGAGGACAGGCGCAAAGGAGGAAAAGGGAGAGGAATGAGCAGACGGAAAGGAGGAAAAGGGAGAGGAATGGGCAGACGCAAGGGAGGAAAAGGTAGAGGAATGGGCTGGCGCAAGGGAGGAAAAGGTAGAGGAATGGGCTGGCGCAAGGAGGAAAAGGCAGAGGAATGGGCTGGCGCAAGAGAGGAAAAGGCAGAGGAATGGGCTGGCGCAAAGGAGGAAAAGGCAGAGGAATGGGCTGGCGCAAGAGAGGAAAAGGCAGAGGAATGGGCTGGCGCAAGAGAGGAAAAGGCAGAGAATGGGCTGGCGCAAGAGAGGAAAAGGCAGAGAATGGGCTGGCGCAAGAGAGGAAAAGGCAGAGGAATGGGCTGGCGCAAAGGAGGAAAAGGCAGAGGAATGGGCTGGCGCAAGAGAGGAAAAGGCAGAGGAATGGGCTGGCGCAAGAGAGGAAAAGGCAGAGGAATGGGCTGGCGCAAGGAGGAAAAGGCAGAGGAATGGGCTGGCGCAAGAGAGGAAAAGGCAGAGGAATGGGCTGGCGCAAAGGAGGAAAAGGGAGAGGAATGGGCTGGCGCAAGAGAGGAAAAGGCAGAGGAATGGGCTGGCGCAAGAGAGGAAAAGGCAGAGGAATGGGCTGGCGCAAAGGAGGAAAAGGCAGAGGAATGGGCTGGGGCAAGAGAGGAAAGGCAGAGGAATGGGCTGGCGCAAGAGAGGAAAGGCAGAGGAATGGGCTGGCGCAACGGAGGAAAAGGCAGAGGAATGGCTGGGCAAGAGAGGAAAGGCAGAGGAATGGGCTGGCGCAAGAGAGGAAAAGGCAGAGGAATGGGCTGGCGCAAGGAGGAAAAGGCAGAGGAATGGGCTGGCGGCAAGAGAGGAAAAGGCAGAGGAATGGGCTGGCGCAAAGGAGGAAAAGAGCAGAGGAATGGGCTGGGCAAGAGAGGAAAGGGCAGAGGAATGGGCTGGCGCAAGAGAGGAAAAGGCAGAGGAATGGGCTGGCGCAAAGGAGGAAAAGGCAGAGGAATGGGCTGGCGCAAGAGAGGAAAGGGCAGAGGAATGGGCTGGCGCAAGAGAGGAAAAGGCAGAGGAATGGGCTGGCGCAAAGGAGGAAAAGGCAGAGGAATGGGCTGGCGCAAGAGAGGAAAGGGCAGAGGAATGGGCTGGCGCAAGAGAGGAAAGGCAGAGGAATGGGCTGGCGCAAGAGAGGAAAAGGCAGAGGAATGGGCTGGCGCAAGAGAGGAAAAGGCAGAGGAATGGGCTGGCGCAAAGGAGGAAAAGGCAGAGGAATGGGCTGGCGCAAAGGAGGAAAAGGCAGAGGAATGGGCTGGCGCAAGAGAGGAAAAGGCAGAGGAATGGGCTGGCGCAAAGGAGGAAAAGGCAGAGGAATGGGCTGGCGCAAGGGAGGAAAAGGCAGAGGAATGAGAAGACGTAAAGGAGGAAGAGGGAGGGAGGGGCTGCGCAAGGGAGGAAAGGCAGAGGATGGAAGACGAGGGAGTCATGTAGAGGAGGTGGAGGATGGTGCTGGGGAAGAGGAATGAGAAGACAAGGGGGTAAGCGTAGAGGAGGTGGAGGATGGCGTTGGGGCAAAGGAATGAGAAGACAAGGGGTAAGCGTAGAGGAGGTGGAGGATGGCGCTGGGGCAAAGGAATGAGAAGACAAGGGGTAAGCGTAGAGGAGGTGGGGATGGCGCTGGGGCAAAGGAATGAGAAGACAAGGGGGTAAGTAGAGGAGGTGGAGGATGGCGCTGGGGCAGAGGAATGAGAAGACAAGGGGTAAGCGTAGCGGAGGTGGAGGATGGCGTTGGGCAAAGGAATGAGAAGACAAGGGGGTAAGCGTAGAGAGGTGGAGGATGGCTGGGGCAAAGGAATGAGAAGACAAGGGGTAAGCGTAGAGGAGGTGGAGGATGGCGTGGGGCAAAGGAATGAGAAGACAAGGGGGTAAGCGTAGAGGAGGTGGAGGATGGCGCTGGGGCAAGGAATGAGAAGACAAGGGGGTCAGCGTAGAGGAGGTGGAGGATGGCGTTGGGCAAGGAATGAGAAGACAAGGGGGTAAGCGTAGAGGAGGTGGAGGATGGCGCTGGGGCAGATAAAGGGGTGGCAAAGGGTAGGTTAAGTCTGGGAGAGCTGTGATTCAGGTGAAGTGATTTGTTAGAACATGAGAAAGATCCACAGCAGTAGTTTTACTATGGCAGACCTGTTATGTGCGCCATTCACTATGTTAGTTTAGCCTATTAGCGCGCTCACATTTGTTATTTAGGACACAGCAATTATACTTTGTTATACTTTAGATTTTTGTATTTGAACTGAAATAAAGAAAGGATTTGGCTTAATTATCCTCAGTATTTACAGTACTCATATTATTGTACTCTATGTTCTTGTAAATCATTTCTCTGTTTTCTGATTAAAGCTTG